TGCTTTCATGCAAGTGAACATAGAAAGATGAGGTGGAAAAATAGTTTCAGATTTTAGAGAATAAGTAAAAGACTATTTCACAGTTAAAATACTGGATTTTGCTTGGGTGGAGCTGCAAAAGTATGAGCTCAGGATCCTGGGATTTTGAGTTGCTAAAGGCAGAAAGTCACACCATGCAAAGTACAGTTGTTCAAGAAAAGGTCATCTGTTTCATCTTCAAGTCTAAGGTCCCTTCTCTATTGTGTTAAAACTGCCATCTCCCATTAGCTCCCTACTATTCTTAAAGAATTATATTAGGTCTGTGAATTTGGGAATTATGTCTGCAACTCTGATCTACTAATTTTTCGCACATATTACAAGAGCAGTAGGGTACAATGGAATAAATAGTGGATTTAGAATCAAGAATAAGCTTATAGGGCCTCCCCGGTGGCACAACTAGTTGAGTGCCGCGCCATGAAGCTGCCCGCAGCCTCTGCAGCGGGGATTCAATTCCTGGCTGGCCAGGGAGAAACCCACATGGTGCAGCAGACTTCTGCCTCTCCCACAGCAGTGTCTTTGGTCCCTCTGCCTGTTCTGCTCCCCGCTCTGTCTCTGGTGAATTCTCTCACCCTTTTGCACCTCTGGTCCATACCCCAGTTCTTCTATAAATAAATAAATCTTAAAAAAAGGAATAAGCTTATAAACAATTTTAATAAAATGAGTAAACAATTGCATAAACTAAACACAAGGTTAGGTAGATAATGAACATATCTAGAAACACCTTCACAGGAGGATTGAGAGAGATCTTAGTTGGGACAAATGCTTTCAGAGGAATAAGAGGTAGAAACAATCATTTTATTTAAAAAAATTATTGAGGTAATAGAAATAATTTGTTAGATTCTAGTTTTAAATTTGTGATGTTAAGAACCGAGTGTTGCATGGTGCAGACACATATTGACTAACCTGAGTTTCTCTGGCAAAGCACTCAACATCATTATAGCTTATTCCAGTATTCTGAAGGCATTTTTACCCAAAACAATTCACAGCTTCTTTTGGGTTTTTCTTCATTCTAATGTTCACTGTTTTTCTTTTTACTGAAAAATGTGTATATGTACTTTAGTATTTATTATGTGCAACACTTGCTAACCTTAATCTTAAATCTGAATTTTCTTTTTTATCCTATCTCTTTTTTTCTTGGCTCTACCTATTAGGTCCTTTAGCTTAATCATCCATGTCTCCTTCTACTTGATTGTTTCGCTAAGAACTCTGTAAGGCACACAGTGAAACTGATTCGAATTTTACAGCCCTGGTGATTTTCCTTCTGGTGTACTACCAAGAAAATGCTCTCGCACAACAAGCTGATGAATCATTTTGCAGGGCTATGGTATTTGAAAAATGAGGTAGGATCGTGAACACAGAAATGTTTCCTAAATATCATGAGGATAATACAACCATAAAATAAAATCATCAGTGTTAGCTTTGGTCTCTGATAAAAGTAATATATTTTGATTGTTTTAGCAAATTGAGTTCCCCAGAGCACATTCATTCGTTCTTGTAAATTTTACTTCTGTAAATTTTCATTGCTTGTTCTGAAAGCTGGCTAAAATTGCTCGGCACCTGCTGTTACGTGTCTGGCATTGTCCTGGGGGCCTTACACCTGTTAGGCCATTAAATCATCACAGCAGGCTTGTAAGTAGGTTTAGATTCTCCTATTTTACTAAAAGAGATGGAAGCTGAGTGTATTGAAATAACTTTTCTTGTGCCTCCCAGCTAGTAAGGCTCAAAGCTGGAATTAGACTCCTGTTTGTTCAACTCTAACTATAGCAGGCTTAATTGGAGACAGACATGGGAATGTATTAAGGCTTCATTTTCTTTTTAGACATTGATTTGGATGAAAAATGATGCCAACTGCTGTTGGTTGAGTTGGTGGGCTGTAGGGAATTACTTCACTTCAGTACTCAGTGCTGTCTCTGGCCAGGTCCCAGGCTTCTGTCATATAAGTACTGCCAGAGGAAAGGTTGCCTTGATCATCAATAATTTCATTTATGTGTTGTACAGCTCCACTGTATAAGGAATGAATTGTAGGAGAATAAATTCATATGGGGTTGTAGTGCATATTTACCCAGGCTGTTTGAGGCATGGTTATTTTATCTTCTAAATCTTGGCATCTAATTCAGGACTGTGATTCCCAAAGCTGGCTCTTGGCTGGGATCCAACATCTGCCATTTGTCCCTGCCTTCCCTCCTTCCCTCCTCCCCACTGATATTTACTCATATTTTACTACTACAATAGCCTCCTAATCTGATCTGTCCCTTCAGTCTATTCTAAGTGTTGCCAGTCATCGTAATTTTTTCAAAATGCAATTTCTGCCTTGAAATACTATTATGCTACATATTCTGTGACCCTTTTATATAACATTTGTGAAATGATAAATCTATGGATATGGAAACCATTAGTAGCTGCCTGGGGTTAGCGATATTGGGATGAAGGGAGACAGATAAGACTCTAGAGAAGGTAGTTACAAGAGAAATCTTTGAATGATCAAATAGTTCTATTTGCCGAAGTGGATGCATGATAAAGGACATAGAGCAATATCCAAACCTTACACTAATGTCAGTTTACTGGATTTGCTATTGTATCAATAAGTACATAAGGTGTAAACCATGGTGGGGACTGTGTGAAGGATACATGAGACTTCCTGTACTATCTGTGCATTCACATCAACCTACAATTATTTAAAATAAAAGTGAAAGTTCCTTTGTCTGCCATGTTCATTATGTTTCATATTCTTTATTCCTCTTTGAATTAATCAGTCATCTGATTTTTTCCCTACCTAAATTTTATTTACATATATTCAATATTTAGCCTCTATCAGGGTATCAGAAATACTTAATTTCCCATCCTTTGCTTTCTGTTTTCTGCCTTATATTTAATGTGAACTTTGTGAGAACAACATAGCATTGGATCTGGTCTTTTCAATCCATTCTGGCCATTGTACTTTATCTTTTTTTAAAAGCATTTTTCTTGTTACAATATGTATCCTTAATTTTTCCTAAAGTTAGGATTATTTAGGATTAACTTTATACCATGTTGCATAAGATGTAAGGCCCTTATAACTGTCTTGGCCATTTAACCCCTCCCTGACATTATGCTATAATGGCCATGTGTATTACATTTACTTAGGTTATAAATCCCACAATGAGTGTTTGAATCTTTTGCTTTAAAATAGTCATATGTATCAACAACATTAAGGGAAAGTAGCTTTTTTTGTATTCACAATTTCTGGTGATCTTCATTCTGGGTGGTTGTGTTTTTGATACTATTCAACCTGGAGATTCTTGTCTGGGATTTTTATACTTAAGATATGGTAAGAAAAAATGTCTACAGTGTACACTTCTCTAAAAGTTCTTTTATTTGTCTTCATTTTTGATAGATTCGAGGCCTGGACATAGTATTGTCGTTTCACGACTCTGTCCCTGGCCCCACCCCCAGCTCTGTCCTTGGGCCTCCATAGTTTCTTATGAAAACTCAGCATTGGCTGTCATTACTCTTTCTTTCTCTGTATGTGACGCGTTGTCTTCTCTCCCAATGTCCTTATATTTGGTTTTCAGCATTTTCGCTGCTTTTATCCAGTTTGGGGTTGTCTGAGCATCTTCAGTTTGCACATCTATGTGCTTTCACCCCAAATGGGAAAACTTCATTATTCTTTTTTTCTTCAAATCCTGAAACTCTAATATGCTTCTTCATATTGGCTTTTCCTTTATATCCTTAAGTATATGTATAATAATGTTTAACATCACTGTGGCCTAGTCACTGAGGCCTTACTTTCTCTTTGTATAGATTAGAGCTTTTCTATTAGTTTATGTGTCAGGTAACTTTGGATTATATCAGATTAGGTTTTTGAATAATCGCTCCTTATGTTCCTTCAAAGAGAACTGATTTTTTTGTTGTTGTTTGGGTATTAACAGACAATTAATAGGGCTGAACTCATACCAAATTTTCATTTCTCTGTGGCAGGTCCACTGATTCATTCAAAAAGCTCATGCTGAATATGTGCTGTATATCATGCATTAAAATAGGAAACTGCACTAAAATTACAAATAGATATGACCCTCACTTCAAGTGACTTGTATTTCAAATGATAGAGATAGGAAAGTGCAGGTAAGTATGACAGATTCCCAAGTGCCATATTAGATAAATGCATAGAGGTGAGTTTCTGAGAAAGGCTTTGTGAAATTGTTAAAATACAACTTTGAATTATTATTATTGTTATTAATTAGAATTTTTATTGAGATAACATTTATTTACAAGTGTATGTGACTTAAAAGCACAGGTTTACAACTTTTCATATGTATGTTACCACACCCCATCCGCCACCAAAGCTCCAGTCATCTTCTGTCATAGTCCATTGTAAAAAATTATTTTTGAAACACTCCAACTCTTCTGAAAATAGGACTTATTATATAAATTGTTATATATAGTGTGAAAAGATTGGCTGATGAATAATAGTGACACTGTCATCATTTAGTTAATTCTTTGAAAAGGACATGTTTCAAAAACATAGCATATCGTGGGGAAGCAGTATTGAAAATAAATGTTTAAATTGTTGGCTGCCATTACTCCATAAAGGGAGAAAAGATGATTGCTAAAATCTGAGCAAATAATGAAAATGACGATAAATTAAAGAATTAAACATTACTGAGATAAAAAGACCCATCTATACTAAAAAAATATCACTACCGGAGAGATATTTCAAAACTCATTTAACATTCATGGCTCTTAATGAGTATAACTTACAATGTATCTTAAAAATCTATAAGTTTACTATGTCATATATGTTAAATATCTGTAATTCCCCTGCGTCAAATATCAGAGTGGTTTTATAATCCAAGTTGGATATTGTTGGTTTATACTTACATCTGTATAAATGAATGGATAACATAAAGTTGGTTTTTATTTTTCAGAGCATATCTACCCTACCAGTAACTTGAACTGTTTCTCTTTTTTTCCTGTTTTAACAGTGTATCCTATTCAGTACATGTATCTGAAGATTACCCAGGTATGATTTTTTGTTTGCTAAAATAATCATGTTATCACTCCTGTGAATGCTTTTTGCTTTTGGAGATATAAAATATGCATTAGCGTATCAAGGGATGGAGCATTGGCAGGGGAACACCTAAAAGATAGAGAAGAACTAACTGTGGATTGCATATGAGGTTCATGTCCTACCCTGAGATACTGTCAAGAATCAAAAATTGTTTCACAGCGAAAAGTAGTTATGTGACCCCACATGATAGTTTCAATCTATATGTACATATTCCAGTGAAAAATAAAGAATATCTGAAGTTGGTTGTGGAACATTTGGCCTTTCACAATGTAAAATTAATAGGTAAGAATATAACAGTGAAACATTTTGGAAGGCAAATTTGACAAGAGCAAATGCAAAACAAAAATAATCACAGGGATGTGAAAGATTATCGATGAATACTATAAAAACCTTTTTTAAAAAATTGGACATTTCACCAATATAATGGACTTTCCAGCAGAACACCTTTGAAAAATGACTAGGAAACAGAAAAACAAAAAAGAAAAAGGCATAATCATGGCATCCTTTTTTAAGGTTGGTTCTATGGTAAAAGTTTCAAATAACAGTAGTAGATAAAATAAAGGGCCTTCCTTCATTTTTCAAAGACTACGTATAATGAAACAGTTCCTAAAACAATTCTATGCAGTTGTTACCATAACACCCCCATTTTACAGATGAACAATGTCATTGCTTAGCAAGAGGAAGAGCTGGGATTTGAACCTAATATTCCAGGGCCTGTGGACTATAGCACCTGACACACTAACGTCTTGCATGCACACAGCTGTCTTTACCACGTGTCCTGAAATATGGTCCTAGGTCCACAAACACTTGTGCATAGAAAGCAGAATGCAAGATCAGCACCAATCTGTTCTCCTTTAAACAAGGTAAACAAACGCCTTTATTTTGTGCCCTGGTGCAAGTTATCTGGACGCACTATCATCTCATGAGTGCCCAGGACGTGCATGCCAGCATTTAGGCCACTTTAATTTGAAGTTATAAACAAGATATTTATCCCCATGGTTTTTCTTACCAATGATATTGATAATTTTTTCTTGAACAAAAGATCAGATATGACTTGATTTGTTTACTCCAAGAAAAAAGCATAATGCACAAATTTGTTGTATGTGAAGAATTGCAAATTTTAACTGCTTGTATTTCACAAATATGTAGTTGACTCCAGTTTTGTTATTCAAATCTATCCATTTTTTTCACATACTGTGTTTAATTGGGGTCATATTTTTTGTGTAAATTGACTAGATTGCTATAAGTAACTTGGATAATGTGTACTTTGAGTATTAAAACAATTAGTCTATAATGTGATAGGCAGATATAAAACTTCTTTAGCATTCAATCTAAGTATTTTTTATGGCAGTTTGCATTACACTTTTAATTTTTTGATAAGATCAAGTGTTATATATTAACATTTTAAATTTCATAAATTAAAAACTCCCCTACAGTTATTTTCTTATGATCTCTGTGTTAGCATAAGTATTCTTACAAAACTATTGGGTGATATTTTTTCAAGGGAGAGTTAATTATCCACTTCAATGTATGCCTTATTTTACTAGTAGTATAAAAAGTATCTTAGGCAGACCTTACTGGAAACAACAAGACAAGAAATTTTATAAGGAAATTTTATTTATTAGTAGACAGTTTCCCATAGCCTTCCGCGTTTGATGCTGAATGTTTGCTAAGTATGATAAGAAAATAAAAGCCCCACTATTTACTGTACATGTTTTAACTATTGCTCGTCTCATTTGAAGCAGATCCTCATGAGGTCAGCCAGTAGAGGTACAGGACTTTAAGCCAGGATGATAGAAATAATGTCACAAATGAAAGCCCAACTTGAAGACCTTGAGTTAGCCTGTAGCTATGGAACTATGGTAAATGCCTTTAGTAAACCAATGAACCATATGTTTAGCTCCCTCTTGTGGCCAAGAGGCATTATTCTGGCTTTTTCTCATAGTTTGGCAACCCCACTTGGAAATATAATATGAAAAATAGTGATTTTAAGATTAAATATTGGTTCTCATTTGTGCTTTTTTTAATAAAATAGAACGTCCTTCCTGAAATAAGTTTATAGTGAATTTCCAATATAATTTCATTTCTAGAAAGACGAGTGTGAATAAAACACAAGGATAAGAGAGGGACATTCTGGGATAGACTTTTTAATTGGTTGACAGAACCAATATGCTGTATATTAAGTATTTCCTCATATATAATTGAATTGGTTCTAAATGCCAAACTCCGTACAGACAGAACAGAGGTTATCTTAACATTTTATGCTTGAAGAAATATGCTGAACGAGGTTAAGTAATGTATCCCAAGGACAACTTAGTTTGGTGGTAAAACCAAGTCTTTAATTCAGTTCTGCTTCCTATCATTTCTGGGGAAGAAGCAGTCATAATATTTTTATTGAGCTTTCTTCAAAGTGAATATCACTATGGTAATATTTTCCCCATTATTAAATTTTAATCCACATTTATTTGTACTGAGTTCAGTTAATATGCTTGATTTCTCTGAAGGACATTATTATATAAAAACAATCTGTTTGCTTTTTCTATACCAGTATTTATATCTGTGTTCTATTCTACCCTTACACTGACTAGACCTTCCAAAATAATCTTTAATATAGATATGAAAGTTGGCAGCTTTGACCATTTGCATAAAATAAGTGAGCATGTGCCAATTGGCTTTCAGAAAAGGAAGTATCATTCGTTTTCTCATTACCAAGCTGCTTTTTTGTCTTTTCTAAAGAGTGAGTAATAAATCTTTATCAAATGCTTCTTTTGATATCAGTTGATGTTATGTGCTTCCTGCATATTCTGTGACAAGTTATATTAATAGACATCAAACATCTTTTTTTTTTTTTTTTTTTTTTTTTTGGTGGGACCCTTGCCAGCGGCCGGATAATGAACCGGCGCAGCAGAGGCTGCGGGCAGCCTCACAGCCCAGTGCTCAACCGCTGCACCACCGGGGAGGCCCATATTAACAGATATCTTAATGTTGAGCTATACAAATTATATATATATATATATATATAGTTATATAGTTATATAGTTATATAGTTATATAGTTATATTCTTCATTGGTAGTGACTTCAAGTTGTTGAAGGAATTAAGCTATACCTTTAAGCAAATCATTCTGAACCTGGTGTTTTTTTGTTTTTTTTTTAAGGTTGATTCTATGGTAATTGCCACATTTTTCTGCCATGATCATGCTTTTTTCTTTTTTGTTTTTCTGTTTCTTAGTCATTTTTCAAAGGTGTTCTGCTTGAAAGCCCATTATATTGGTGAAATGTCCAATTTTTAAAAAAGGTTTTTATAGTATTCATCGATAATCTTTCACATCCCTGTGATTATTTTTGTTTTGCATTTGCTCTTGTCAAATTTGTCTTCCAAAAAGTTTGCCTTATTTAAAAAATTCTTTCAATTAGCTCTTTTTTATGCCTGTAATGTCTAAATGCAGTAATCTTGGTAGTACCTTTATTAATTCCTTCTGCTAATGGTCCTTAAACTTCCCCTACCCCTTCCTTTTCCTGGAGTAGCTAGTATAACTTAGTGATTAGCTTGTCATCTAAGTTTGAGAATACGGGGTTTTCTTTGCCCTGTGGAAATGTATCATCTTAATCCTCCAAATTCAGGGTTATGTCCTTCCTGTTTTATTTCCCTGGGAACAAATTTATAATTTAAATCTATTAAATAACATTGAAATTCCTTTCATAATTTATTATTGTGAAAATGAAAATTTAGAGGGTCTTTATGGAGTGCTAGATATATAATTTACATAATATCATGAATATTAATAAAATATTAAATGCACCATTGACACTCCAAATAAAGTGACAAAATAACAGGAGCCTTTTGGGTTACTGGTACTTCTTAGTGGGTTTTATATTGTACACAGTTTTTTGTTTATTAGAGGTAAGGGATCCGAGAATAGGTGTGTGGTTTTTACAAGGTATTTGTAATAGTTGAGTGACAGGGTTTTTTTGTATAAAGAAATAATACAGCATTAAGGTTTGGATTCAGACATTTTCACTACTTACTACCTCTGTAGTTACTTAAACAAGAAATTACTTGATTTCTCTGAGCCTTGGCTTCCTCATCTTTAAAAAGAGGGACAGTAATTGATTGGCTTGGGGGTGCCACGAATGGCGTGTATACATTAGTGTGACTAACCAGAATACAATACAAAACCAATATTATTTATCAGTGTAACTTTTGTTAAATTTCACACTCATGAACACTGGAATGATTTGGCTTAATTTTGTTCCATTTGAGAGATAGGATAAAAGTAACAATTTAAGAAATGATTTTTCAGAACTCTTCTCCCCAGTTTTCCACGAAAGTCCTGCTAATGCTTACAAGCCTGGTAGGGATGGGAAGAGAAAGTACTGATATTGTTAATGGCCTTTAACAAAGACCTAGAGGTCTCTATTAACACCTGCTTGTTAAATACTCTAAATATCCATGGAAGTTTAGAGAAAAATTGGCCCTCTAGAATCAAGTGGGAGCCTTCCAGTGAAAGAATTTGACTTGGAACACATTCTATTCTGTCACTGACTCATTGTGTTACCTTAAATGCATCTTACTCTTTTTATGCCCTACTGTCCCATCTTTAACATGTATGATGTTATGATTACAAAATAGTTTGAGGAAGATTTAGAATTAATTATTTAAACAATGAAGTAAAAAAAAAAAATCCCATAGAATCTATTCGTACAACTGAGATGATCCTCAGAGATCTTCAGCACAGAGCCTGGCTTAGGGTAAAAGGAATCAACAGCTATTTGGTAGCAGGGTCTAGATTGGATATGCTTTCTCTACACTCTTATATTTCTATTCTTTGCTTGGGTATACCTTTATGCTCTGGCCTATTATATTGTAATGAGAATTTAATAGATGTTGTCATGATACCTGAAAAATGTTTGGCTTGGATAAATTCAGCCAAAAAAGAAATTAAAAGTATTCTAATACCTAAATACTAATCAAACATAAGCTGTAAAAAAATTTCATAGAAAATGTGAAGTTTGAATGCATAGTGCTATTTTTTTAACATTATGCAACATGCGTTCACCAAATTATATTCCTTTGAATCAAATCTCACTGCCTTCTAGTATCAACACTTTCAGTATACCATTTGACCTTTAATTTGAGTTTTTCACTTTCCTGTTACCTTAAACATTAAGTCCAATTTATTTGCCTCTTGATGCGTTAGTGAAATCCTCAACATTCTATTTCACTGAGCAATTGCATGAAACTGTGTCGATTCATGGATTTTTCTGGATCACCCATACCAGTTAGTTGGTGGGCACCTGTTTCTTCTTTTGCTTTTAATGCTTTCTTTGAGTACACCATTATTCCAGAAGTTTTCTTAAAGGGATCGCTGTGGACAGGGAAATTAACCTGATTCACTAGCAAAGATCTTTGAATCAATAAGAATCTGAATGAGGGTTTAAGAAATTAAAACACTGGCTTTATATTGTTTATTTATTCAATTAAAATTAGATAACTTTGGTTTATAACACTGTATGTGATTCAGAGTTAGAGGAACACACTTCTTCAGATGTATGTCACCACAGCACACCCGCCATCAAGGCACCCCAGCCTTCTACCATATCCATCGGTAGGAGTTGCTTCCGCACTTTGCTCTTCACCTCACACTCCCCCTCCTTCACTGGTAGCCTCAATTCTACAGTCAGATTTCTAGGGTTTGTTATTTGTTTTTGTCTGATCCTTTGTTTTGTTTCTCTGTATTCCGTATCTAAGCAAAACCAATGAACAGAGGAGTGCAAATATTACTTTGAATTAGCGTTTTCTCATTCTTCTGGTAGATACCTGGGAGTGGAGTTGCAGAATCATAAGGTAGATCTATTTTTAGTATTTTGAGAAACCTCCACACTATTTTCCATAAGGGTTGGACTAGTTTGCGTTCCCACTGGGAAGTTTCCTTTTTCTCCACACCCTGGCTGAGAGTTGTTGTTTCTTGACTTTTTGATATGGGTCATTCTCACAGGTGTGAGATGATATCTCACTGTGGTTTTGATTTGTTCTTGCCTCATGATAGGTGGCACTGAACTTTCTTTCACATACCTGTTGGCCACCTATGTGTCTTTTTTAGAGAAGTATCTATTTAGCACTTCTACCCAGTTTGTAATTAGGTTATTGTTGTCTTTTTGTTGAGTTGTATGAGTTCTTTATAGGTCTTGAAATAACAGTTTCTTGCCAGATACATGCCATTTTTCTCAGATATTTTCTCTCACCCAGTAGGTATGTGTTTGTTTTCTTTTACTGTGCAGAAGCTGTTTAGTTTGATGTGGTATTATTAGTTTATATTCACTTTTAAAACACTGACTTTAATAGGGGGGTTGGAACCTTACATGAAAGGTTGTGGTCAAAGTTTCAACTGATCTGGGGAGGCAGAAATTAAAATAAATTTACATTATATCTGTGTCTTAATCTGTGGTCTCAATTGGTAAACATGAAATCTCACATACTCCTTGATGTTACTTAAAAAGTAAATGAGGCACATTTGTAATTAAAACAAAGTAATCAGGCAAATCCATTTTGCTTCAAATTTAATACCCCCCCACCCTCCTCCACTCTCTATTCCTGCAGACATACACACCTTCCTTAATAACTTTTAAAACCTTCTATCTATTGAAGGTCTTTTGAGGCTGCACTGTAAATACTTATCACTATCATTTACTTATTATTCTAGGTCTAAAAAACAATGCAGATGTTTCTTTGGAAATGAAATAATGACTTAGATATCTATCAATTACAGTTTGTCACTGTACTGACACAATATTATGAAAACTTGCCTCAAGATCTTTTATTGTGTGTTCAATCAGTTGCCTGAACATTAACTTCCCTTAGCAGAAACTCATATAATGTTCTATTATTTGTTGGAACTGTTTCATACTTTATTTTTGCATCATGAATGAGTGTATTTTAGGGCCATTGTTAATGAATTGGTGTTTGTGGAGTAGCTGTCTCACAGATGCCCTGTAATCATCGGTGAGAATAAACAGCTTTGTGTTGTATTACCATATACTTGAAGATACATAGTGATCAGGGGAAAAAAATCCTAAATTTAATCAAATATTGTATTTTTTTCCAGGGGTGACAAATAATGAATAAGAAACATAAAAAAAAAATCTACAGGATAGTTTATTGTTCTATGCATACGTATAGTATTGTTTAGATGAAATGAAATCATGGAGAAAGAACTGTTGTGAAAGTTTATATCAATTAAAATATATATTAGAGAAATAGGGGAGGTATGATTTACAACAAAATCTTCAACCCAGATCCTTGAATGAGTTGACGTTGAATCTTTATTTTGTACCAAGTGCTCTTATTTACCTTTGTCCCTCCATTCACTAACCATACTTCCTGTCATAGGTAATGATAATTGGAAGGACCCTGCTCAGTTAGTTGGTGTTGAGTGATTCTATCCAAATGATTCTTTGCCACATGGGCTTTTAGAGAGGTATTTGGATAATCTCTATCCAAAGTGTATATTTCTCTAGAAGATGTAAATGTATTCAAAGAAGCCATTTACAATTAACTCACATATAAATATGCACTTCACCATTTTTTCTGAGATTACTCACGACAGTAGTGTATTTCATGAGTGCTGAGGGCAATGTCAATATAACATCATTATTTTTAAAATTATTTTTATTTATGTACATTTATTTTGTTTTCAAGTTACGGTGCCCTTAATTGTCCATATTTCTTTGCAGATAATACATATGTGTCAAGTTCAGAAAATGATGAAGATGTATTAGTTACTACAGAGCCAATTCCAGTTATTTTTCATCGAATAGCAACGGGTAATGAGAATGCAGTGTTTTTTTATACTTGGTCATTATTTTCTTTTCTTTTTTTTTTTTTTTAAAGATTTATTTATTTATGCATACAAGAGCTGGAGCACAGGCCAGAGATGCGGGGGGTGAGAGGATCCACCAGAGACAGAGTGGGGAACAGAACAGGCAGATTGACTGAAATACACTGCTGAGGAGAGCAGCGGACAAGACAGGAGAGGTCTGCTTCACCATATGGGTTTCTCCCTGGCCGGCCAGGGATTGAACTTGTGCTGCAGAGGCTGCAGATTGTTTCATAGTGCGGAGCTTAACCCCTTGTGTTACCAGGGAGGCCCATTGGTCAATATTTTCTTAATTGTCAGTGAAAGTTCAATTCCAAGCGCATTTACTCAGATAAGTTTTTGAAATTTGAAGTCTAAAACAATTTTTTATACTAGGTTAATATTGTAGGTAGCTTTATTCATTTATTTTTTGTTTCTTTTAGCCTGTATTTATTTTAGCATCAAATCCGGATCTCTATATGTATTTTCAATCTGAAGTGCATTACTTTGTTTTTCATCAGTTTTAAAGTGTCTAAATTTAAAGTTTTTTTTAAAGTCCAGTTTACATGTAGTATGTTGATATTTGCTGTTGTGAAGGTATTTTTATGCATAGTGATCTGCTAGACAAATTGAATATTTATTTTTTTAAAGATTTATTTTTATTTGTGCATACAATAACTGGGGTGTAGGGCAGAGGTGTGGGGCAGGTGAGAGGATTTACCAGAGACAGAGTGGGGAGAGAACAGGCAGATTTACTGAAATACACAACTGAGGGGAGCAGCGGGTGAGACAGGAGAAATTTGCTGGGCCATGCCTCTGGCCCAGGATCGAACTCATGCCACAGTGGCTGGCAATAGCTTGGTAGCACTGAGACTTTAACCCCTGTGCCACCAGGGAGGCCCCCAAATTGAATATTGAAAAAGCATACTTAAGGCAATGTAGATCCCATGAAATACATAATAAGAGCTGAAGGGGGATCTGTGTAGTGGCACTTTACTTTGGCCATATTTTTATGAGCAATGAAAAATCAGTTTAGTTTGTATATTATGTAACTACTCAACATAGTATGATTTCAAAATATCCCTTAATTCTGTTGCAAAGGAGAGAATTACCCAGAAGGTCTTTTTATGCTAAAACTTATGAATATTTTATAAATAGTATACTAAAAACTAAAATGATTTTTAATTATAACTTTCTTTCAGAATTAAGAAAAACAAATGACATTAACTGTTGCTTATCCATAAAATCCAAATTACAGAAGGAAAATGGGGAGGTATGTAAATTATATTTTATATTTCTTTGAAACAGATAGTTATATTTTACATTTATTATGTATTCGTAGTTAGTATCATCAAGGCTATTTAGGTTAAAATTGTATTAGCAGGTGATTGAAGCTCAAGCTACTGACTTAGGGGCTAATGTTGAAGGGGTAGTAGCCTGAAATTAACTTTGAGATTGAAACTCCCTTTAAAATAATAGAAAGAGCATCTGGCTTAAATCTAAGTAAACCTAACTTACCATCTGTGCTTTCATCAATTAATGTGGTTGACCGAGTTGGACTTACATAACTCACTGTAACTATACCTGGCTATACATAGTTTTGATGATACCGTCAAAATTTCATTAGTAAAAGATGCTCTCTTTAGCTAAAGTAGCATAGGATGTGGGTATAGTCTTACTATTATTGGCAAGAGTTTAAAAAAACAACTGCAGTGCACTCATCTGCTTTTATCACCTTTAAAAACATTTACTTGAGTCTATAAATAAATACCAGGCCATTAAACAAACACGGTGAGTGCTGTGGGGCTGATAGTTGCACTCAGTACAGCCCTTACTTCCTTTTAGTGTAACATTCATTATCCTCTTTATCCTGAGAAGAGTCTGACTGAGAGTCACCGATTCAGCAGTACTTTTGCCAAAAATCAAAAACGGGTAGCATTTAAAAAAAAACAAATTCCTTTTTCTAAGTTTTTTGTCTTCCTTCAGAATTTGAAATTTGGTCTATAAATTTTAGGGTGAGTACAAATGATTGGATTTGTTGATTCCTGTATCTAGAAAGCTACCTAATTATGTCAGAGATAGGAATAAACCACTAAGCTACATTAGATGAATTTTCTTTGTTGCATTTTAGATACATAATGGATATGGTTTAGTGAATTAGAAATGAAATTTCAATTTCAGACATGCTTAATCAAATATCCTTTTGAAATATGAAATCTAAAACAAATAATTTTGTATTCTGAAAGTTCTGTTCATAATGTGATTCATTTTCCTAATTTGATTTTTATTTTGAATTCAGAGTGTCTTTTTTCACATCATGGTGCAGAACAGGCAGTGGAAGTGAGAACAATCTGATACATATGCTAAGGAACTTTTTAATAAAAAATTTAATCAGGATGAGCTTGTCAGAAGTTTCATAGCACAAAAGCAAAGTTGCAATTGATCACACACAGTTTTTTATATACACCAACTGTTAAACTGTATAACTTGCTCAGGATCAGCAAAATGGAGCTTTTAAAAAAGATGTACTTAGACCTGAACTCATCCACAAGCTTGCTTTAACTACCTTTCATTTTTGGTTTGTACTGCACAAAGTGTTTTTCATATATAATCTATATGATGTACACAAGATCTGCCTGGCATGTCATCTTTCTATTTTCCTTTCAAAAGGAGACAAGTTAGTTTCACCATTAAAATGGTTTTCTTACTCTATTTAATTCGAAGGAGTCAAGACAGAATAGCACAGTGGAAGAAGATTCTGAAGGTGATAATGATTCTGAAGAATTTTATTATGGAGGACAGGTAAGTAAACCAGGTTTTCCAAAATACCATTCTAGAAGTTAACAAAGGCTTTATGTGTCTTAGTGGAAATATTGCTTGTGATCTGAGAGAACTAGGTGTTGTTCAAGTCTCTGTACCTGACTAGGAAGCCTATAATTGATCTGTTTTTCTTTTTCTGCATATCAGAAATCAAGGTCACGTTTTTAGTTCTTTAGCTGTAATCACTTATTTACATGAAAGTTGTCATATATCATTACCGAGATTTTTGTAAGCATCATTTTATAATGCTTTTGATTTTCACATTTCTTAAGCATATTGTGCTCCAATTAATGTTTGGAAATGATGCCACTTCTAACAAAAGCATGAGTTGTTCATTTTAAATAGAAGGTGATTAACCTTTTTAAAAGTTGAAAGGACCTCATTATTGAGCCTCCTCATTTTTCTATTTGTATTTTTTCCTTCCTTTTCTTGTTATACTAATGTAAAATGTTGAAAAATTGTTATAAAGGAACACCATAATTTAGAAATTATATTTTTAATATTTAATTATAAATTGTTTTTATAACATATACATGAAAACAGCATAGCCATGCATGCATATTTATGTAATAATATACAAATGTACACATATATGAAGAATTCATTATATCTTTACATGATAAATCAGAGTCTTAAACTGAACAATTGATTTTTGAGTATAGTTAGATAAGATGACTTTTTCTGTGAACTCCTTGGTCAGATATGCCTTATAACATGGATGATATAAAAGAAAGGTACTAAGTTAAGGAGGTATATCAAAATCAAAGTTGCTATGTAAAGAATGAAAGTAAACTTAAAGAAAATCTATAATTTGTCAATCAAACATCTGGAAGGGAGTAGAAATCATCGATATAAATAAAACTAGTAAGTTTCTTCTCTCCAGAAAAAATTTCTAGCAATGTGATGGATATTCTTCCTAATGATTCTTTAACCACTGTGACACTTTACTAGTATGAAGTATAATTCTTCCGGTCTTGATTTAAATCTTACACAGGGGAAGTAAATGCTCTTCTTCAGTCTAGATACTCAGTCTAAAAGTTTTTCAAATTGTGTGTCTGACGCTTATTTTACTCTTTAACATTTACATTCATCATATCAAAATAACCTCATTTTACTTATTTAAACATAATAAGTCACACAAGAATTTACAGGCTGATGTATATTTTTAGTTTTTTGATTCACTTCATCCCCCAGCCACATCTAAATCATACGCTTTCAACAGGTGAACTATGATGGGGAGCTGCACAAGCATCCACAGCTAGAAGCTGATCTGTCTGCAGTGAGAGAGATCTATGGGCCACATGCAGTTTCTCTCAGGTAAACGAATACCTTTGATAAATAAAAATTAAAGCTATTTGATAAGTCACTGGAATTTTCTATTGGAGTATGTAAGTGGAGATTTTCTTGGGTTTAATGATATCTGGGAGTATTTGAGAGACATTCTCCTTATACAAAATGGTGTATTTATGGCTATATCCCTCTATCCCCCACATGTGTTTTAGGATTACATTTGTTGCATTTAAGAAATTAGTTATTTTGTAGAGTTAGTTTAATGAAATGCCATCATCAATATTACCATAATCAATTCCTGTAATAAATTTGGCCATCTGGGCCCATGCTGTTTTCATAAATCATGGGCATATTCATGTGAACATAAGAGTAAATAATACATTACCACTGATATTCAACCACATTGTAATATATGATCTGCTCCCCCCAAAGAAAAATTTTCAGTGTTTACTCAAATGATAATTTTTTTACAGTTACTTAATATATTATTTGGTGATGAATTTCCAGATCATTTTTTATTATTTTTAGTCATTCAAAAGACTCCGCCATCTTTACTTATCTCCCTAGTCTCACCTAAGTTTAAGAAAAATTATTTCCTGTCACCGTACTAATGTCCTAATGAGAGGCTAGAGCTCATTAGTTTAGATTCCTCTTCTTTACCTAAAGGGTAGTTTCCAAGACTACTTGAAATTCCAGACCCTTCTCACAGCCTGTAGTCAATACCAGCTTATCATCCACCCAAACCAGCATTGTTCCGGTTATCCAATAGGCCTCCCTCATTCCCTCTTGATTTGAGCATTTTGTATTAGTGGTTCTTATAACCAGGATATGCAGGTCTCCCAACTGTGGCAGCAGATTTACTTGGGCCTGGGTCCAAAAGTCAGTATTTTGCCTTATTGCATCTCCAATGCAGATTTGTTATCCTGCCCTGTGGGCCCCGTCACATTTGCACAATTTTTTTGATTGTTTGCTCTATTTAGTTTTGATTTGGTTTTTAGTCATACTTATATTGAGATATGTAGCATAACGTGGGACATATATGAAATACAAGGTAGTAGATTTTTGATTGATTTCTATGGTAATATCCATGAAAGATGTCCCTATCTAGTTACAGTCCTTTCAGTGGGCATAGCTAAATTTTGAGAGAGCAAATAAAGACTTTTATTTTATTTTATTTTTTCTATTTTTTTAAAAGATTATTTATGCATCCAAAAGCTAGGGTACAGGCCAGAGATGTGGGGTGGGGGGTGGGGTGGGGTGAGAGGTTTCACCAGGAAAGAGTGGGGAATAGAACAGACAGACAGAGTGAAATACACTGCTGAGGGGAGCAGCAGGTGAGACAGGAGAGGTCTGCTGCGCCTTGTGGGTTGCTCCCTGGCCTGCCGGGGATTGAACTCGTGCTGCAGAGGCTTCAGATTGCTTCATAGTGCAGTGCTTTAGAGCTTCCTCACTGTAGTTCCTGGATTTGGCAACACACCATAAAAATAAAAAGACTTGTACTCTAAAAAAAAAACAAAAAGACTTTTTTTTTTAAGATTTATTTTTATTTATTTACTTATTTGTTTGTTTGTTTGTTTATACAAGCACTGGGTACAGTCAAAAGGAGGGCGAGAGAATTCACCAGAGCCAGAGTGGGGAGCAGAGCAGGCACAAGGACCGAAGTACACTGCTGAGGGGAGCAGCGGGCGGCAGGAGAGGTCTGCGCACCTTGTGGGACCCTCCTCCGGTGGCCGGGGAGCAGCTGGGGATTGAACCGGCGCTGCAGAGGCCACGGGCAGCTTCGCAACCCAGTGCTCAACCACTGCGCCACCCGGGAGGCCCTCAGAAAGACTTTTAATTGGGCAGTACAATACTGTATAATTTATAGTTACCAAATGTTCCATTTTAGCTGCAAAAACAGACACAAACACCTGTACCCTAAATAAACTGGGGGACTTGTGTACTTGACCCTTCCCCTCTCACTTGTAAGAGGTTCATCAGGTGCTATTGTGGGAATTACTGGGATTACACTAACAAAAGCAATTCCTTGCAACTTAAAAATAATTTAGTAAATTAGCTATGATCATTTCACAGTTGATCTCTGTTAAAGCTTCAGGATAGAACGTATGTACATTTTCTTCTTCTTTTCAATTATTTCTAATTAAGATTTGGATACCCTCATCAGGTATTACCACCATAGTGCACCCACCACCAAATCACAAGCAGCCCACTACTATAGTCCAGAAGGATGGCCATTCAGTGTTTTAGAATGAGTAGATGAAGATGAAAATAAAGACTATCAATAAATAACAATGACTAATTTTTAACCAAACTTTGCTTATAAGTTTAAAACTTTCATCATAGTAATTTGACACCTTCTCTCTAAAGAAGTCTTTGAGATAAGGGGCCTCCCGGTGGTGCAGTGGTTGAGCACTGGGTTGCAAAGCTGCCCGCAGCCTTTGCAGTGCCGGTTCGATCCCCAGCCACAGGTGAGGGTCCCACATGGCACGCAGACCTCTCCTGCCGCCGCTGCTCCCCTCAGCAGTGTACTTCCGTCCTTCTGCCTGCTCTGCTCCCTGCTCTGGCTCTGGTGAATTCTCTCACCCTTCCGCGCTTCTGACTGTACCCAGTGCTTCAATCAATCAATCAATCTTTAAAAAAAAAAAGAAAGAAGTCTTTGAAATAAAATAAATCATAGAGTACAACATAAAATTCAACTTTTTATTCAAAAATGGATGCTTTTCCTTAGAGAAGTACCTTAGCACATGTTGATGGCTTTAATATTAGAGATTTTTAAACACATTATTTTCAAGCTGTCAATTCTGCATTCGTACTGTCATTGGTTAAACACCAGAGATCATCTATATTAATATTTTCAATTATTAATTATTGATAATTTATCAACTGTTGAAATTAGATGTTTAGTACTTCATTCAAATAAAGTGTCTAAAAGTGTGAATGTTTGAGTTTTACTCCCCTTGTCTATTTCACTTTGATTCAAGTTCAGTCTTAATGAATGCAAGCCCTATTCCCTCCTGCTCTAGAGTTTCTCTGGTTATAGAGAAACTATTTCCACAATAAGTAACCTCCCAGAGGCCACATAGTATAAACGTAAATCACAGCAGGAGTAGTTTGATTTAAATAAATGAGAATGAATTTAGTGTCTAGTCTCAAATGCTCAAGCTTGGACACACGGGGAAAGGGATATTATACATGAGGTCTTGAAATCATCTTCCTTGTAAAGTTCTAAGACTACTGAAAACAGACTGTTCTAATTAGCTGTTCTTTTACTTAATTGAGGTTTATAAGAACTTAATGGAGTTTGAAGAGCAAAAGTACCTCAATGTGCATAATAGGCTATTTGATGTCATTTTTTTAAATGTGACATCTAATGAGAAAGGCAGCTAACCACATCTAAGTTCTCAATAAGAGATGAAAATAACTGAGATTATCTTGATTGAGGCTAAACCCTCTTACAGGAGGTTGAAGTAGGATAAGGAAAATGGCCGATGATAGATCTATTATTTAAGTAGGTGAATTCAGCTCTACATGGCTATGTCATCTGAAAAGCAGAGCCCTGGCTCTGTTGACTCATTCTTACAAACACTCTTATGAACTGATTCCTAGGCGCTCATACATGAAGTGATTTAGGTCTCTGATAATTTGCCCTATGAATTTATCTGCATTTATCTCATCTTGAAACATGCAACTAGATGAGGATATTTTTGTTTTTCATTATAAAGTTCACCCTGCAGTCATGTATTTATAAAAAAAAAAATTCAGTGCCATCGGAAAACAATTTGAGGTTAATATTTTTAGAAAGGTAAGGAATTACATGTCACAAAAGTCTCATTTGGTTAGAAGTAAAGTGATTCTGATAATTTCCTTGTGATGTTTCCAGCTCCCACCCCATATAAAATATATGCTTTATGATTACGTAAAGTTATGTGAGTAATATCCTAAACCTTTCATTGTGACTAATGTTTCATGTAGGTTGGATGGTTGAAAAAGTGATTGTTTTGATTGAATCTCCATCATTTTTTGTAGATGAACAATTGTAACAGGGCTCTTTGGAGTTGATGTTCTCAAGGGCAGGATGTACTTAAGATTTTTTGAGACTTGAGAAAGTTATCCTGCCTAACTTAGGCCTACCGAGACACACAGCTCCTTTTAAAAATACAAAAATCGGGGGCCTCCCTGGTGGCTCAAGGGTTAAGACGCAACCTATGAAGCTATCCACAGCCACTGCAGCACGAGTTTGATCCCTGGCCAGGGAGGTGACCCACCCACCCACTCTCCTGACTCACCTGCTGCTCCCCTCAGCAGTGTATTTCTGCCTGTTCTGTTCCCCACTCTGTCTCTGGTGAATACTCTCACTGCCCCACCCCCAACACTTCTGCCCTGTACCCTAGTTCTTGTATGCATAAATAAAAAAAAATTTTAAAAAATACAAAATTCGGGGAAGGGGAAAAGCCAGGGCGGATCACTTTAATTGTCTGGATTTCTGGATTTCCACTTGTGGTGGCCAGAGGAACTTCTTAGATATCTTTTGCTTCTCCTCTGCTGACATTGTAAGGTTACATTTCCCTGCTCCTTTTACTGTTAGGTGTGGACACATAACTTGTTTTGGCCAGTGAAATGTGAGCAGCAGTGCTAGTGTGTGAGTTCCCATATCCCCCGAACCCTCTTACTCTGGGTCCTTTAGTGGCTATAATGAACAACAGAGCAGTCCCCCATCCACCCTCACCCTTTATTCCATAGCAACCTGGTAGTGTGAGAGAGAGAAATCTTTTCTGGTGTTAAACCACTGAGATTTTTGACAGCATCTGTTACCACAACATAATATAGCCCACGCTAAAGTATGTCTTTCATCAAAAGATTTTGGTTGGATGTTTGTCGTACCCTTTCCAGCATTCGGATTCTCTCCTAGTTGCCTCTATAGCCTAGAAGAAAAACAGCCTGACTCTGGAAACCATGGGAAAGTGATGACAGGAGGCATATAGAAGAAAGGAACCAAGAGGAGAGTGTTTTCCAGAATCATTGGCACA